AACCTACCTCTAACCAATACAATACTGGGAGAATACTTTTTAGAATTATCTCAAATATAACTTGACCCATTACGACCCAGAATGAATTTTTTACATTGCCTCTGAACTGTGGAGTTAAACTCCAGTTACATCAAGTAGCTTCGCAACTATTTCACAAGAATATTCAAACATACTCCCACCCCTTTTCCGGAAGTTATGTATTGCATATAGTCCTACCATGCCATGAAACCATGATCAATCTAAAATCAACAGATATTGATCAATTGATAAATTTTCAAATCTTTTTTTTTTACAATTTTAATTCATAGCACGAAATCAATATTTGTGATTGGAAATTATTAAAGAAGAGGTTACATATTTCAATTTTAATCCCATTAATTTTAAAGCCATGACCTTATTCCATCAACTCTCATAATAGATCGTAAAAATTCCATGATACTTTCCTCTGGCTTGTTGTGGTATTGATATAACCCTACACGTTACCTCAGTCAAGTAACAATAGACAGAATGATGTATATTCCGCTTATTATTTTTTTAACAGTATTTTATTTTTGAATTTTACCAAGATCTCAACACAAGTCGGATCCTTTTAAAATTTTCGAAAAAACTTTTGGTTATTATAAAACAAAATAAGTCGAATGTAAAAAGGTTTGGTGTCACTTTATTAAAACAAATGTAGTAAATTTAGTCAAATAGACCTTTTTAAGATAAAAAACCTTACTTTCACGAGCTTTTCACATGGGAAAATATGAGGTTAACAAGATGCTCAATGCGGATTATTTTAATCTGGATTTGTTTCATCACTTTCGGTGTAAAAATCTATAATTATTATCTGGTATTAGGGAGGTATTTGTTCACCTTGTAACCTCAAGTAGAAGATACTAACATGACATCTTCCACAATCCGAGGTTAGTAACCTTGGATATTTGTCTTCGAGGTTTTCAAAACTATGATGGTGATAATTCATTTCTACTTATGAAAACTGAGAGTTGGACCCTCGCCACCACTGTGTTCCGATTTCTTTATATTAGGAGCCATGATGATAAAATATAGCTTAAAAGATAAATCGAAACGTTTAAATAGGGGTTCGAACGACACCTTGTAATATGAATATGATAATTTATGTCAACCAAAATGAATCATCTGAAATGAAATGAATTTTAAGTTTTCTGTTCCTTATTCGTGCATAATGAAAGTTGAAAGGGAGAAATTGGCATCATCATGTTTTACAGTATTATTTTAAAAAATAAATCACATGCAAACATTTAGATTAAGCAAACGATGGACAATCTTTGTCAATATACATAGGCATACATATCAGGTTTTGGTCAAATTTTCATTTTGCCTTCAGAATGTATAGGTCTATCATGCAAATGCACCGGTTTCTAAAAACTGAGGGATCGTTCACATGGGAAAACTGATGAGTTTTGGATTTAAACTGGCTTATAACACATTTTCAACTAAAGCCTTAAACGTCATCATTAAATATAGGGATGAAGATACAGACCAAAGTACCCAATAGTCTGACATGGGAAAAGTTCACTTCAATTATAAATGATCGGAATTAAAACCAAATCCCTGTTAAAATTTGCAGGTTTTCAGTGAAAATGTGTATCTTTTTTATCATTCTCGTTTAGAAAGTGACAGAACAGTATGAGGCACTTGTGGGTGACATTCCTAATCGGCTCATTTACACCAGCAATAATAACTTAATACCTTAAACCGATTAAACACGTGGATTTGAAGATTCTAACTGAATTACAAACCCATGTAGGAGATTCATAATATTTATTATTATCTAATCATGCCAAAATAAATCTACCAATTTCTCTGATTCAATTTGGATATTTTTATCGCGGATTTACAGAGTTAAACGACACTAAACGGCACAAAGCGACACTAACCGAGTGGATTATAAACATTTTAAATTTACTGGATATTATCTACTATAGAATATTAACGATTTCGATCGTCAATTAAAATCTTTTCACAAAAAATACCACCACCCTTTTTTTTTTTTTACGAAAATCGTGTCTCGTCATAATAATCATTTTTTCTCAGACATCGAAAAGCGACCAAATTATAATAAAAGTTTTGTCCATTTGTGTGTCGCATACATGATGTATAATATTCCTTGTCATTATTCGAGTTTATATAAATATTTTATATCAACTAGTTAAGGTGCGAGTTGAATAAAACAGCCTGGGAAGCGCCTCGAGTTAAAATCCTATTTACTTTTGAAAATGCCTATTTAGGTATAGAAACTCCAGTTGAAATTAGTGTAAGGTTGAAAAAAGCATCAAATAACGAGCTTATCAAAGTGTTTACATTAAAATTATGATTATAATTGACAATACAGGCAGAAAATAACCCTCTATTCAATAACAATCATCGTTTAACATGATGAGCTTAGCGACATGGGGATTAAACACTGTAAGTACGTCAATCTAAAATGAACCACGCCCAGTGATGAGGAAGAGGCCACTCCCATTAAATCTTCACACAATAGGAGTATGAAAAGTCGGCAGTAATGAATGCCTGTCGTTGATTGGTCTATTAGTGAAGGGACTGCTAGGTTAGCTGGCTTACGATTGGTCAACTTGTGATCTCAGTGAGCTTTTCAACACCCGTAAAAATGGAAGAATTTGGAAGTATTGAAAGGCCGAGTTTGATTAATATGTTGGTTATTGTTTTGAATATTTGATTGAAATGATGGCCGAGAGAATATAAATCACTGGAATCGCCAACTAACAACATTATTTTAACTGTCATCGTCAAGCACACTAGTTTGTACCTTTTTTCTTGATTTAACACAAGTATTCTTACAAACTCGATACCTTTTAGCTTACAACAGTAAACATTACCTGCATTACTTTGTGATATTTTGGATATTTGAAGCTGGTTTGAATTGGATATGAGAGACTAGAAATACAGGTAAGCAATTCAGAGATTTTCGATTTCAAGCTTTGTCAGTGACAAAGCTTTTTATCATTACATACCTTGAAATATTACAAAACTTCACGATTATCATGAAGGGGTACAAAATTCAATGTTTTTTGATGAATAAACATGTATTTAAAATTTAGCTTAATGCTTCGAATTGAATGCAAATTTTAAATCAATAAAAAATTTTTTATCACAATAACTTTTTTAAAACCAAATAACAGAAAATCTCGAGAAAGAAAATATTACCCAGTTTTGCTATAGCATCATTATCTTTCTGGCACAAATCATATTTTTCTAAGCTGTTTCGCTTTTAGGAAATTGAAATATTTCATGTCAATTCTGAATATTTCTTTTGAAAAAATGCATACTTGTGAATAATTACAATTGATGATTTGTTGTTAAACAAAATTACAGATTGCCACAGTAATAGTAATTTTAGATTTAAACTAACAAAATATTTTCATTGTTAAATATAGTGCCCATGACGTCAAAATTGAGATATGTAAAATAAAGCATAAAGTAAATAAACTATAAAACTATTTGAACAGTTTGATTTAGATGTCTTGATATGTTCAGTTTAGATGAAGATATTAAACCATTTTGGAAACGGAACCATTCAGTTTTGTTGTATAAAATAAATTATCCTCTATAAGACTTAATTAATCAATATCTTTATTGAAAGAGTTTCTGTAAAAACTGAAATAATTCTAAATCCCTTGATATTCATTAACATTGTTCTTTTTTTAAAAAACAATTTTCCATTCATTTCTTTGAAAGTATCCATTTTCTTATAATAAAAAGGAAATTTTCGCGTTTCTTTATTTAGCTGTTCATTTTCATATCCGTTGATCGATTTAAATAATGGATTTTCTTTAAAATAACACTTGAAAAATATCTGTAAACTTCGACCTACTTGAAAAATTGTTCGGTTTTTCCGGTTTTTGAATTTGGAAAGGATTTTATTGATTTTTACTATTAAATAACACAGATTTTTAATTATCAAATGAGCAATTTTAATGATGCTTCAGACGTTAATGTAAACTCCACTATATTTGTTATAATTATCAATATTTTTTTGAGATTGTGAATTTGGAGAAACTCGACTATATATTAAATTAGTAGTATTCAAATACAAGCTGTAGCTTGTTTTAGAGTTTATATTTAGGAAATTTTATTCTCAATATATTTGATTTTAGGGATTTATATATTAGAATAATGAACCTGTTTCTTTAAAATTCACCAAAGCAAATTAATGTATTTCTTTTTTCAGATACCCGTGGAAATATATATATACGAGAAACGATAAGAATTTCAAAATGGAAAATAAAACTGAAGCTGAAAGTCAACCAGTGGTGACCAAACCAAAATTAGCATTTTCAATAGACAGAATAATGGAACCCAGCCCAAAACGATGTAAAGTACAAAGTTCGCCACGAAATTCAGAATCTCCACTCAGCAACGAGTCTGAACTTTCACCCAGATCCAACATCCATTCTCCAGAAAAACGCAGTCCAATAACAGTTCCCGCTTTTCCTGGTTCTAGTTTTGGAAATACTTTATACTCCACTGAACATTCTGCGATTCGGAGTTTATTTTCAAACCCACAGAGAGAATCCATGGATTTGAGTTCTTCCAGATTTCATCCATATTTCCATCCAGCATTTTCTCTACCTAGATCCAACTATGATGAGTATCATGCTCAATTGTTACGAAATTACTCTATGTTACATCAGACTGGATTGACTGCGACTAAAGAAAGACTCTACTCAAATTTGGAACTTTTAAAATATTCCAATATGCAACAGTTATTAACTCAACAAAGAGTAGCGGCAAGTCTTCAACAAGAACATTCACCCCGAACAGACAGAGTTGCAAACTTTAAAGAAAAGATGACTGAGCCATTGACTATTTCTGAGAGAAAAGACGAAGAAAGTGTGGTTGAAAAAAATTACGAACCGAAATTAAACACATCACTGGATAGTTCGAGTAATTCTGATAAAAACTGTTCGCTAAACGAGGATGATATAATGAAGAGTAAAAAAGTGATTAACAAATCTCAGAAAACATTTACTTGTCAAGAATGTGGTAAAGTTTTCAATGCACATTACAACCTGACTCGCCACATGCCCGTTCATACAGGAGCACGTCCATTTGTCTGTAAAATATGTGGTAAAGGATTTCGACAAGCCAGTACCCTCTGTCGACATAAAATAATCCACACACAGGAGAAACCCCATAAATGTGCGACTTGTGGTAAGGCTTTTAATAGAAGTTCCACCCTTAATACTCACATGCGCATACACAATGGCTACAAACCTTTTACCTGTGAATATTGTGGTAAAGGTTTCCATCAAAAAGGTAATTACAAAAACCACAAACTAACTCACAGTATAGAGAAACAATATAAATGTACTATATGTAACAAGGCATTCCATCAAATATACAATCTAACCTTTCATATGCACACGCATAATGACAAGAAACCTTTCACGTGCGTTATATGTGGCAAAGGTTTCTGTAGAAATTTTGATTTAAAGAAACATATTAGAAAATTGCATGAAGGAACCCAATTACCGAGCCCTAGTAGTCAGAACTCGTCTTCTCCCCCGGCTTCACAATCTAACATGCCCTCCCCCAATAGTTTATACACCAACTCTACTCTCAGTCCCCACTCGGCATTTCTCGCCCGACCCACATTATTGTCCCACTCGGCTATAGGATGTCAGAGGAATTTATTCAACCCCTACATGTTTGGTGCGAATGCTGCATCGTTATTGCATAAAATCTCTTCTGTAATTTAGACAAGTCAATTCTTATTTCAACAATTATATATAATTTCCTTAAAATAATTATCTATTAATTGATTGATCATAAGTTGAAATTCAAAAAATTAAATTCATCTATGTTATTTTTTTTTTTCAAATTAAAATGATGACGCGAACGGTATTGATTATCAGACAAAAATTGAAATATTTTAAAATCAGTGAATAAGTTATGAATTATAGATTTCTTATCAACAATATTTGTTAAACGAAATTGATATTTTGATTTGATATTCAAATACTAACAAAACTTTATTCAATAATATTTCATCTATATTATTTAATTTTTCGATTTATTTCATTTGGCCTGGAATTTGTTCATCCTTTTGACAAAATATATGAATTAGATATAACAAAAATATTACAAAATAGTATTTTATGTATTTTAGATAAACTTTGAATATTTTTTTAATTTTAAATGTTATTTTCGATATTGGATACTTTGTAAATATTTGAAGTTATTGGATGCTTAGAATTGTACGTTTTGTGAAATTATTGAAAGATTTTTATTGAAAATTAAAATGAAATAGAAAATCTAGAATTATTTCTATAATGAAAAAATTAACATATAATTAAAGAAAGTAAAGGATAAGGGTGCCATGAATATATTGTATATACATAGAATATTATTTAATTTAAAATGTTAATGTTTGTTGTGTTGAAATGTTTGTAAATTTGTTTTTATTCGATGTTAAAACTATTTATTAAAAAAAATCAAGAAAGTATGTTTGGTTATTTTCTATTTCGTTGGATATGGTACAATGAAAGGTAAACGAGTGAGGGTGAAGTTGTTACGAGTTTGAAGCACTTTATCAACGTCTGAACATGAATTTCATTTCTTTTACATTATTTTTCTGTGAAGAGTTGTGACTTTTGCAGATAACAGACAAATCATCAGCAAATTTCACCAGACAGAGAGTCCTGATATTTAAGTATCCATTATTTCAACTGAACATTATACTTTCGCTAGATTTTATTTTTTCCATCCATTTACTCTCCTGGCCTTTATACCTGAACGCCCCATGTGACTCATCTATTAATACCTTTAACTGTAGTGTACCTTTGGGGTTATTTTTTGCATTCAAACTGACCAGAAAAGATCAAAGAAAAACAGACACTATTAATCAATTCAAGTGATTTTTGTTTGTTTTTGATTTGACATTTACGACAATAAAAAATAGATGATAATAATTTAAACTATTAAAAGAGTTATTCAAATTGAATTTTATATGAAAATTATCGATTTGGTCAGAATAGAGTTGAGTTTTTTTTTCTTTCATTGAAGATTATTTGTTTAATATTTCTTAGGGTATGTCTGGTGTCGTGAATAAATTCTAGAACAAGACAATGGGGTTATGAATATGAATACTACAGAACATATGCTGGAGTTGGCTAGCCATCTGGTCCGGGGACAAATCTATTTGATTTTTTATGAATTTCCTTCACATTTCATCAATAAATCATAATCCCAATAAAACGCTGTTCATTTTGGTTTTCGTTTGAGTTTTTAGACACACGGTCCTCTATTTTATCACTAAAATGAACGCATGCTGCCGTTATATACAGACGACTGGGTTTCGTCATGACATGAGAGTTTTTAACAAATACGTTACGTTACTATAATCTTTGTTGGGTTTAGTGACGTCACAAGTTCGACTATTCCAGGGAATGCAAATTAAATATTTTTTGAATTTTGAAATATGGTTTCTGTGATAAAATATAGATTTTAATAACATTGTGGTTTTGTACAATCAGGACTTGCAGGCACTATACCGTTCATCTATTCACGTTACAACTTCTCATTTCAACAGATCAAATTGAAACAAAGACAGGACTATAAATAAATATTATTGTTTAAATCACCTGTATTTTACACCTGTTAATCATCAACTGTCAATCACCTCTCTCTGTTCTCTTACTAACCATTCTCTTTTCTAACTTTAATAAACTATAGCCAATATCACGTTAATAGATACAGTTTTAGTGGAAATCATTATCTATTATTGAGGGTGATTCTCCATTTAATAGAATTGGTGAACAAAACCGTTAAATGATAACAGGTGTTTGATAACTATGCCATGTCTACCAAATTGATAAACACAATATCAAATGTTAATTTCAAAGTTTTAATACCGAATCGACAAACAAAATGTATTCATTATGCTGATAGATGAAACATTCGACATATCGTACAAAGAATACCAATGGACTGAACTGAACTCAATTGAAGATTGATATTTAAAAAAATTAATTAATTATCTCAAATGGGGAAACTTCATCGAGAGTCATTGCGTCAATGTATATTTTGACGATTTCGTGCTTCCCAAGTTTTTAAATGAAATTCCTTTCCGTTGCATTGGCCTCAGTAACAAAGAGCGATGTTTTTTAAAACAACATGTAATCTGACGGTATTTCATTGATGATCACTGATTCAGAGCTATTGATGATGATTATTATACAAAGGTTAATAAATAATAAAATACATGCACTGCCGCAGGACATCCAGTCTTGTACATATCGAATATCATCATATAAAATGTATCGTGATGATGTAGAAATATCATTTTATTCAAATCTTATTGAATTATTTTAAGTCCGACTTTTTCAGTCTAAAACATGGTTTAAACATGGGCGATTTTCGTTACTTTTCTCAAAAAAAGACAAGAATACAATATAACCCTAATATGACAACTGTTTAAATCTATTTGGCGAATTAAACATAACACAATTTATGGATAACAATCACTTCAACTCTTGTTCTCAATTGTTGACGAAGTACAAACATGCCAAGTTCAGTTTTGCTTTGTTAACATTCCAAAACGACAAGTGAAACCTTGTCGAAACATTGTTTGATAAAAGTACTGCGATTATTTACCATAAACTTCGAAATCTTAAAGTTTAAAGTTTAATATCTGTAAAAAGGAATCAGGCAAGTCAGACTTTAAGTTAATCGCAGTTAAGAAAGGTATTCTAGTTAATTCTGTATCGTAGAATACATGGCATATTTGAAGACGTATAAAGTTATTTTAAAAAGTCATTGTATATTCATACTTTGAAAATACAATCCAAGTAAGAGTTCAGAAAGATTAACTGATCACTTAGATAAGTGACATAGATCTCTATCTAACCATTGTTAAACCCCGGATTAATTCTGTCACTTAAACTTTGTGACATATTTGATATGTTAAACCATTTAGCTATAAAAATAAGTGATACAAATTGACAGCATCTTATTCCAATGTTTCCTGAAAATGACGTATCAAATGAATGTTGTGGAATTAATACTTATCCGTTCTTTACTGTTGACATTTAAAACGATGTCAATTTAGATGAAAAAACGTAGAAGATTGTCATCATATATTCACGTTTCTAATGTGAGGTGGACCTATTCACTGCTCAACATAAGATGTGAAGAAAACCCCATCGTATCTCTGTGTCTGGTATGAGAATCAAACGTTGAAGGCAAGCAAAAATATATCTTAATTTTTTAATCTTGATCAATATGTGACGTTCCCAAACTCCATTAACACACGATTGTGGATATGTATGTGGGTTAAGTTAACGGCGTCCATTAAAGTAACAAATTAACCATACCATATCATTATTGACTTGGTTTTGTGTTTTTCCTGTAAGGCAGAAAGTCTGCTGATGTCTGAACACCTTGTCCATAACTATAGTTTGGAAATGAAAATTACACGATGGGAACAGGTAGAACTATCTCAGAGGGTGTGTTAAAAGATTAACTGTTACTTGCATCTGTTCAAAAATTATCGTTTTTACTTTTTTCATTAATTGTCCTTCTCTGATCATTAGAAAGATTACGACTTACTGATCATGACACAAATATGTTTTAAGTCGAGATTACCACACCTAACAAATCTGTTTATTTATAAACATCTTGTTAGGCTGTAATCCCGCCTCGAGCCAAATCGAATCCAGTTAACTGTCAATCACACCCCCTATCATTTAATGAAGTTAGTTATCATTGGTCCATTAACCATGACGTCAGATATTGACGACTTTTGAAAATGGTGTCATAATAATCGTTGGACAGACAACTTTTTAGAGCACAAGTTTACCACAAAATGATAGTTATCTTATATGATATACAGCAAATTCACGATATCCAAGTATCATTTTAAGGCTGGAAATCACAAGACAACATTTGATGATTAAAATGTTAAAGACATATTCAAGATCTCAGTCTGCCGCTTATAGACATGTTCCATTATATAAAATATTTCAAAACCTTTTTTTTTAACACGATTTCAATATTTAAATTTTTTGTTAGTTTAACATATACTGAAAATAACGTGTAAAGGTGTGCATACTATCGTCATCACGGTTTCTTATCACAATATTTATATATCTTAAAGAGAGAATCCTCTTTAGAAGTAAACTGTTTTCAGTATCAGTCTCCAATGTACACATTTTGACGCATTTATGCAACGTAAAAAGGAAAAAAGTTATCTTGTATGAAATAATAAAAACCTATGAAATACTTCTTTTGTATAAAGTCCTGATTACTGATGTATTAAGATATACAAAATGGCCCAATGTTATGGTGTATTAAACAGAGTCACATAATGTATTTAATAAACATTATTATATAAAATTGTACTTCTCATGTATTAAATACCACAATGTAATTCTTTCAAATCTATTAAAAGTAACAGAATCAGAAAGTAACAAAAGTTCATATCTATCAAAGTAACACAATTAGATAGTTACATACC